ACAGCTCCCATTACTGTCCTCTCAACACCACCATCCTCAGGTGTGGCACCTCCAGAGGACTGTCATCAGTTTGAAATCTTGATCTAGTCCAAATCTATCCTTTTTAAATGAGGAAAAGAAGGCACATGCAGGTTTAGTAAGATGCTGCAGTTACCTACCTGCTTAGTGGTGCAGCCCCAGCCAAAGAACCCACCGTCTGGAGTCCTCACGCTACAGCTGAACAAGTCTCCTGACAATCTCTTGTTCCCTCTCAAGTGGCTCCCAAGACTGTGGGTGGGGGAAGGGATCACCCAGACCTGGCAAAGTACTCAAGGAAATTCTCTTCTTCATCTTTGATCAATAAATCAACAAATCCATTCTATGCAGAATGTTTCACCAAGCTCTGAACAATTTATAAAACCAAAATGCAGTCATCTTTTCCTGCTCTTAGCCTGATGAGGGAAATAGAGGCAGCTTGATATTGTGGAAGGATCTCTGGACTTGGGGTCATTGTAGTTTTGTAACTTTGAAGAAGTAACAAAATCTCTCTCAATTTCAGCACCCCCCCTTCCTTGCTTCACTGTTAGGAAGATGGAATGCGGGCACCAAGGCGACTTCAAAACCTTCAAAAAGGAAATTCTATTGTTTAGTATGAGTTCTAACAGAGAAAGAAATGAAATTATACATTTCAATCCAAATGCCATAATCTCAATTTTGAATAATTAAGGGTTTAAAAGAACAGAGTTTAAGTTTATTTTTTCCCTTTTACCTTGTTTTCTAATCGCAAACAAAAATAATAATATTTGGAACATCTATTCTTTGAAGAGGACACTGTGCTGAGTGCAAAAACCAAAGAAAGGGTCCTTATCCTTCAGCAATCTATAACATAACTGAGATTAAAAAGATTCACTTGAATTACTCTTAATTCAAGAAATGTAAGATCCACTTTATGATGAAGTGAATGAGAGTCAGAGCTGAGATCAAGGTATTATGACTAGGTGAAGTGTTGTATAGGAAGAACTCTCCACATTGGTGACACAAATATCTAGTATGTGCTAAGCTCTATCTGAGTTTTTTAAATGTGCCATTTCAGTTCATCCTCGCAGCCATCTGTGAGGCCTGTTATCTGGCCCCATCGTATAGATGAAGAAGCTTAGAAGTGAAGGGGAACAGCCTATAAGCACAAGGTAGAAAATGTAATTCATACTCTCAGGAGATTAGTGTGTTTGAAGTAAATGCTTTAAAATTGTGAGAGATAAGAAGTTATAGAGAAAAAATCATAGCCAACTTGTTTTAAATACCATTTAAGGCCTCTGGAATGGATTTGGAGAGCAGCAGAGACCCACAGAAGATTTCAAGCAAGGGAATGATTGTGGCACGCTATTAGGCCTAGATTTTAGCTTATTGTAGAATGGAAAGAAAAAGGGGATTTGTATCATATTATTATTTGCAAAGTACTTGGGTCTAGCAAAATGTTAATGAGTTGTCCTGTTTCAATTAAGTGAGATACCTGCAGATCAAGGGTGGGTCCTGGATGGTTTTCCAATGACATTAAACCAAGTGCAGCTCCTGGAAGAAGCTCTTACTGGCTACAACAGAAGCCTCATAGAAATGGAGGCAAAGAAAGCACAAAGATCCACATTGTTTGCTGATCCTCCCAAAGAAGTGCCTCTTCCCCCTTCTGCATTTGATTTTGTCGTATTATTAGACATCGCAGATTCACTCTCACTGAGTCGTATGAATGATATCATAGGTAAGATGGACCTCTTTCTTTTTTGGCACTTTTTTTGTTCATTGAAAATCTATGTTTTATTTGTTCTTTGATGGAATAGTCTCGGTGAATATTCCCATTTACAATTATAAGTGAGTATGAAAGCATCTACTTCAGCCTTTGAAAGAACTATCTTGGTGAGCGGCACCTGTGACTCAAAGGAGTAGGGCGCTGGCCCCATATACTGGAGGTGGCAGGTTCAAACCCAGCCCCAGCCAAAAAAACTGCAAAATGATAATACTAATAATGATTATTATTTTAGTGAGTACAGTTACCACTTGCTTTGACTATTAGTGTTCCTCACTGCAGGCTAAACTTGCAACTGGTGAATTCTAAGCCATCTGCGGGCATCTCACTGAACTTTTCCATCAACCTGGCAGTTCCCCTTATACAGAAGTGACTTTTTGAAACTTGCACACAGAGAGAAGCCCTCTAGTACATCTTAGTGGGTCATGCTTGTGCTAGCTATAAACCACGTGTGCTCTGAGTTGTGAGTGTCAGCTGACGTGTTCCCATGATGGGGTTGAATATTCTTACCCAAATCTACAGTTTATTTGTTATCCTTTAAATGAAAATATCACTTTATTCCACAAATAAAATACTTATGGGTAAAAGCACTCACGGTTTATTTAATTATTTTTCATCCTTTAGATGAAAATAGTACTTTGTATGACAAATTAAATACTGATGACTAAAAGCATGAATTCTTGAACCCTGGCTTTCCAGGTGTTTGACCCTGGGAAAGTTACTTCTTGTTCTAAACTTCAGTTTCACAACCTATATGACAGGATGGCTCATCATATTCTTATCAGTATTACATGGGATGACTTAAACACTTAGGATAGCATCTGGTGCATGATAATAATCTTGTAGTACATACATCAAGAAAAACTTTGAAATAACTAAAAGATTATTAGA